TTTTTTTACTTGAAGCCGGTAGCATCAGGAGTTGTTCCGGTCATTAAAAAAACGCAGCTTTTAAAAAACAATATCTACGATTCTGAAAAAAATAAATGTATACGAACAAGAACAGACAATAATGCTGCCTTTGTTTTCGTCTCAACCAATCATCACACAGAAGGTAGAGAGCGCTACCAGCAAGAAAAAACACAGTAAATCAAAAACCTTTTTCTCTAAGTACCTTGTATAATAAACTGGAGTTACTAAGATACGACACGCCTTTAAAAATTTGTTTGATTATCTCCCGCTGTCTTTCTTCGATTCGGTAAAATACGCTGAAACTGAGAAAGAATAAATCATTTTGGTTTTGTATCAATAATACAAAACTCACATTAGTACTTTAGGATACCGACTGACACGTCTATGAAGTCGCCATAAAGTTAAAACGTTTTGTAACTCAAAAAAAACGGTCGGTGACCAAGTACGTCTCTTATCTGCATTGAAATACGTTTTGATTTTGTTCAATGTATGAAAAACGACTTTGCTTGCGATACCAGTACAAGAACTGTACTTTAAAAAACCAACAGCAATTTTGTATGACCATTGGCAACGATCAAACGTTTCTTTTCTTCGTGGAAAAAGGTTTCGGTATTTCATCTGAATGCAGAACGCTTTCATACGTTTTTCATTAAATGCGAAAATGTTTATTCGTTTTACAAAATAATATAAAACCATTTTTCGTTTTCATCGATATAAAAACGCTTCTGCATTTTGTAACCTACGAATATTTTTTAGAGAGTGGGCTATAGGATGAACGTAACCGCGCTTTTGAGGACTTTGGAGCACAACACGCGCATTGAAAGAGTCAGCACTCGAAAACACCGTGCGTTTCCGCGAATCTCCTACATTTAGGTGCAAGCGCCTGCGATACCCACGATACCACATAATATATCCAATTTGTGACTTGCGACTTCTGCGATTCCTTGCTGATATTATCCCATTCTCCGCTGATAGAATATCCATCACCAATAGCGTTCTTTAATTGTTCATTATTATTCTCTGTTGAGTCAATCTTCGTTCTTAGGATGATAATATTAGAATAGTGACGTTCGTTTTTTGCATGAACATTTCTCGGAGTTCCTTGATCCTCGAACTCCTCTTAGTTAAGGCAAACTACTCGGCTTTTGTGCGATTTTATTTGAAGAAAATTAAGAGAACAACATTATTTCAGTTTTGATAAGACTCATTCAATATTTTGTCCAATGCGAATCACATCAGAATTGGTCGGAGGCAATGCGTGACGAAAGATAACGGCTGCTTTGTCTAAAAGTATGAGTGCTTGTTTCATATCGCCTTTCTGTTCGTGAACGAGATCAATCTTTTCGAATGTTGTGGCAGTATCGGGATGTTAAGGAGGAAGAGATTTTTGATAAATGTGAGCGACAGATGAACCTTATGAACCTTTAGCGCCAAATCATACTGATCGAGATACCTATGAACTTCGCCAATGTTGTTATATGCTGCTTCCAAGTGAGAATGATTAGCAGGAAGATGCTTTTGCCATACAACTAAGGCCTTTTGATAATATTCTAGCGCTTTTAAAAAATATTTCTTGTCTTCGTAATAGACAACACCAATATTATTAAAACCCATGGCGATTTTGAGATGATCATCACCGAATGTTTGTCGAAAAATCATCAAGGCTTTTTCATTCGAGTCAAGTGCCCGTTTGTAATCGCCTTTTTTTCGATAGACAACAGCGACACAATTATGAGCATCTCCCAGGGTAGGATCGTTCGACGTCAATGTTCGCACCCACATTTCCAACGATTTCTGATGCCACTGTAGACTCAAATCATAATCGCCGTTCTCCTCTATAATAACACCGAGCGCATGACAACAGAGAGCAACGTCTCTGTGATTTCGAGGCAATTGATTGAGAAAACGAGGAATGTATTTTTCGGTCGCATCGAATTTGCCCATATCACGAAGAACTTGACCTAAAGAGTATAAGCTTGTTCCTTCTGGTTCGAGTCGTGCCTTCGAATAACCAAAGATCGACTTCAAATCGTGGTCATTATCGCCACAAAGAGTCATTTGGATGATCCAAACTCGACCGTCATCACGCTGAATGTTGACAAGTCGAAAGATAGATCCTGACATCATCAATACTTCATCTTCACCAGGAAAATAACTAAACGAAGTGATGTTCGCGAATTGTTTGATACCGCTCAGTCGAGGATTAGCATCAATTTCAAATAATACTCTCTGTAAATCATCTGAGACCGTCGATAATTCGAGAAAAGAAAGAGCTAATTGACGGCTGATACTAGTCGAGAGAAAAGAATTCACCGAAATGAGTTGTCCAATCGAATCTTTCAGCGTTTGTAACTCTTCATTCGAGGTCAACTGATCATGATAAAGACGAACAGATGAGGAACATCGATGTTGTTCCAGTTGTTTTCTAATGTCACGCATAAAAAAATCGAAATAGAAAGAGTAAATCAATGTTCTGTACACGAAGAGCTTTGTTCATCAGACGATAGAGGAACGATTCTTGCGTGTACCACCACAATGATTGATCAGCTACATAATCTTTTTCAAACTCACGAAGAATCTTCAATTCGGCTTTGTTGTCTTTATATTCTTTCTGACACATCAAAATCAGCTCATCTTTATCGATTTTACTCGATTTCATTCGAAGAAGAGCATCGATTAACAACTATGAATGCAGAAATTGCCCATTGAGTTTACTTGTCGATTGTCCATGACCATCACTTGAAGAATTCGTATCTGTACCACGAAAGGTCATGGGCAGCCGGGAGCAGTCTGATTTTATAG